TTTGATGCTAATTAAAAGGATAGTAATAGAGTTGGATTAGGATTCAGTTTGAAATATTGTTGAGGGAATTGAGGTTGAGATAAGGATTTAAAATAAATAAATAATAATAATAGAAAATTAAAAAAATGTTTAAAAAAAATCAAAAGGAACGTCCAAAAGAAGAAAAAAAATCAAAATTAATGGGATGAGACTTTTTAGTAAAATAAGTTAGAAAGTTGGGAATAACTAGGATAAGGTAAACAAATTTGAAATCTTTAGCACTCCTCTTTTCTTTTCTTTTTCTATACATTTTCATAATATTTTCTATATTATTATTATTTTTAAACTAGATAATTAACAAATAACTTAAATTCCCAACTTCTATTTATCAATTTTTTTTATTACTATAATTGATCTTATTAGTTTTATTAATTTACAATTTATTATTATTATTTTATTTTATTTTAAATATAACCTTTTTTTAAAAAAAATTTGTGTTTGACTCTTTATATTTTGGTAAAAAATTAGGTGTTCACACAAAACATCATCTTTTGCTTTGTATTTGTATTCATTTGTATTTTAAATCAAAACACTATGTTTGTCCTAAATTCGTATTCATCTGTATTTTGTATTCAAATGTAAATATATATATGCATATGTATTTAAATACAAATAAATTTAAATGTTTGTATTCGTGTGTGTGTGTGTGGTATATATATATATATATTTATGTATGTATGTATGTATTCGATTGTATTTATATTCAAATGTAAGTACTAAATACATTATAAATGAAAGCAAATTAGTAGTTATACAATTGTATTTCTCTATATTTATGTTCAAAATATAAGTATCAAATACATATAAATTAAAGTCTATTGATAGTTATGAATTTAAATTCATTTGTATCTGTATTCAAATATAGATTTCAAATTCAATAGAAAAAAAGTCTATTTAACTGTTATATTATTGTATTCATGTGTGTTTGTATTCAAGTATAAGTATAAAATACAATATAATAGAAGACTAATTGATTTTTACGTAATTGTATTTGTATGTATTTATTTGTCTACGATTTCATCTACATGTCCTGTATAAATTATATGTAGAATTATAATATTGAGATATATTTTTTCAACATACAAGTGTCCTCGTTTTTCAAAAATTTTTTAACTAAATTTTTTGTCTTCAGTTTAAGTATTTTGAATTTTCAAAATAAACAATGTTAGATTATCACTTTAGACTACATATTCCAACTGGCAAACTTTTAGGAGTGATTTTAGTATTTAACATACCTAAAAATATCTTATTTAGTGCATTATAATTATAAATGTATCATTGTATGAATACTTTTAAAAAAAATATAGCTAGATATAGACATAAACTATATTCATTTTTAGTAAATAACATACTTACAGCTATTGAACTTCAATAACCCTATAACTATAGTCATTTCTGTAAGTCACTCAAAAAAATACTTTCTTGTTTATGAGCGAGGCCTATTTACTGAATAAATTTTATTTTTGTATATAATAGCAAATTATTAATTCAAATTAAATGCTATAAATATATTTTGATTTTAATTGAAACCTATAGTAAACTATAGTTATTTTCGCCACTTTCCTTGGTGGAATCTCGCTTGCCACTCTCGTTTGGTGGCAGTCTCGCTCGCCTCTCCCACTTTTTATACAAGTACAAATTTATAAAATGTGTTTGTGTTTGTATGAAGCGAGAGGAAATTGTATAAATACATATATTTTCTTTCCTCTCTCTCCCCTCTTTCAGATCTCGCTCGTCACCCTCGCCTCTCCCGCTTATACAAACAGAAACAAAGTGTATAAATTGTGTTTCTGTTTGTATAAAGCGAGAGAAAATTATACATACACATGTAAATACATATATTTTTGTCCTATACACCTATAATTATACAATAAAAATATTCTCCTGCCCAGTTTCTTTTGCCTTACTCTCTTTCTCATTTTATACAAATTCAAATTGTATATAATTTCTGTCTTTCTCATTTTATAGAATTCGATTCAAATGTATTTTGCCTGCTCAAGTCTCTTTTGCCTTTCTCTCTTTCACATTTTATACAAATCCAAATTTTATATAATCGCCCTATACACTTATGATTATACAATGAAAATTTCCCCCGCCCAAGTCTCTTTTGCCTTTCTCTCTTTCTCGTTTTATACAAATTCAAATTGTATATAATTTCTCTCTTTCTCGTTTTATACAATTCGCTTCAGTTGTATATGTATAAAAAATCATACATATATATATATATGACTTGCCGATGCAAGAATCCTTGGATGGCGTAATATGTGGTTTCACCCGTGGTTCAAGGTCCAGGCTCTCTTCTTCTGGTTGCATCCTTGGATGGATTATTTGGAAACTTTATGTTGTCGTGATTACTTAACAAGAGTTTTCACCTGGAGTTCAATGTTCGGGCTCTATTCATCCTGTTGTTGTTCATTTACCATCTTATACTTGAGTCAACATATAGAATCTGGCCCCCTTTGGTTATATCACTCTATCTACAGGTATTCGACATCTGCAGTTTGAGGTTAGGGCTCGTGCTATTCCTTGAAGAGTTCGTTTTTATCAGCTATAGGCAGACTCACCCGTGGTTAGAGATTCAGGTTATGTATTTTCTATCATTCATAGCCCGAGAATAAGAACATATCTATAATGCACTTTACAAATCTCCTCTATTGTTGGTTTAACTTTTCTATGTACCCGTCGGGCTTATGGGAGTCCGTTCGGGTTTTTACTTCAATTTGAACATGAGTGTACCTTTAGAGCTTCTTGGGCTAGTTGGAGTAGTCACTTTAGGTTTGTTTGTCTTACACTCGTGTGCATACCTTTACTTTTCTTGTTAGTGACTCTGTCTCTGTTTTATTCTAGCATTTCCTATTGTTTTTACCTTTCTTACTGATCAGCCTATGACACCAACTAGGTACCTGTTGTTTTGGCACTCCTGCTACACTCTACATCTATTTTGTGATGCATGATCGGGAACCAGTCATCAGTGCTGCCATTCGAGCTAGTAGCACCCAGCATCCGGAGGCGAGGGTGAGCATAGCGTCCTGATTATTGTCGTCTCCTTCTGTACACATATTTCGTGCCTCGTCTTTTGTACATGAGACAACTTCTTTGCAGTTGTGTATATTTTTGTATATTTGTCCACTTTTGGGACCTGTACTCTTAGTATGACATTGTACTTGTGACTTTAGGTTCCGGGAGAGACTCAGTTCTTATGTATCTATTCTTTTGGCATTCCTTTTGTTGTTATTTCTGCTACTTGATTTCTGCTCTTTTACCTAGTGCTGGTTGTTCTGGGGTTCGGAGTGACTTACCTACCGGTGAAATATACTAATTAGAATGATGAAAGTTTTTGGGGTGCATATTGAATTATAAATTTATTAAAAAGTCTTCCATGCTACTTCAAAATTTCCAATTTCAAATAAGTTCTCTCTCAATTGTCAATCGTCTAACCTTTTTCTGAACTGGTGTTATAATCTATATTTATATGTACCTTATAAAAATAAAATTGGTAAATCGAGTCGAAACATACTTTGTTTTCTTAGTTTAAGAGTAACTACTTTTTAATCACATTCAAATTTTATTTAAAATAATCATTGTAAATGAGTGAAAACTATTTTTTATATCAATGATTCTTTTTGTGTATGTGTGTATGTGTGTGTGTGTTGGGGGGGGGTGTTTGTGATCTCAAAACTTATATTCAGAACAAATTATTTTGTGTTTGAAAGTGATAAGGGTGTCATGCGATTGAGTTAAATTGTATCTTTGGTGTTCGAGTTGGCTGTTAAATATTTTCACCTTGAGTTCTATTTAGAGTAATCTCATTCGAGAACGAATGTTCCAAGAGAGAGATATTGTAACACCTCTGTCTTATAAAGAGCTAAATTTAGATCAATTCTAGATTAATTAGGATACAAAATCAAACATAAAAATTCATCGAATTTTCTAGGCACTGGGTAGAGTGACGCGTCACTGAGGCTCAAGGGGGCTGCAGTGCCCTAGAAGTGGCCTTCAAAAGTTGAATGGCTGGTTTGGGCCAGGGATGCACCATGGTCGCCATATGATTTCTATTAAATTGTGTCTTTGATCTCTTCTTATTTTTCAACTATATAAGACATCATTAATCATTAAAAGATCCTACATACACTAATCATAACTCTTTGAATTCATATTTTAAATTCAAGGACGAGTTAAGAGTAAAGTTCGAGTAACTCCTTTTTAGATATTTTAAGAAGTTCTTTTTTTACAATCTTTAATTTTAAAACTTGTTGTAAGACTTAAGTAAATGAGTAAGAGAACGAAGTGAGTTGAGTTTCATTTTTCAAAATGAGTATAAGGGAACTAATCATTTCAAAGTGTAAACATTTTATAATTAAAATGAGAGGAAACCTTGATTTCCAAATAATTTGATGAGGATTTTTTTCAATATGGTTTTTCAAGAGAACCTTTTGAATAATTATCTCAAATTGAGGAAGATTTATGTTTTTAAATATTTGAGCATGAATTATAATATTGGTAGTCGTATTGAGCAATGATATGAGGATCACAAGTTCAGACGACTCAAAATTCTCACAAACCACATATGCTAACATATGTAAATGATCATACTTTTTAGATGATTCTTTATTGTTTTTAAGCATAAATTAGTGGATCGACTTAGTTGAGTATGTACTATACTGCGACAAGGTATATGAAAGTTCTAATAGCGTGGGTGAGACATTGTGTCCGATACCGCTATAAGGTATAAGACAACTCTGACAGCGTGAGTGAGACGTTATATCATCACGTTGCTTATAGTAATGATTGTTCGTTATATAATCTCCCAAATAAGAGTAAAATAGCATATTTATGTATTTTCATACACATTGAGTTATTAGCTATTGCCCAAAAAGCTTTATATGTATTGCATCTTATCTATCATTACTTTCATTCTAAATTGAGTTAAATATTCCTGAGTTGAGTTAAGTATTCCTGAGTTGAGTTAAAATGAGGTTAGTATGTCTTTCTTTCTATCAATTCAAGTTGTATGTTGATTTTCAGTGTTTCACTTACATGCTCATACATTTAATGTAGTGGTGCTTTTGACCTGCTTTTTTTCATGATGCAGATATAGATATTTAGGGTCATCAACATGTGCTCCGTTAATATCACCCGCAGTCTCAATTAGCTTCAATAAACCTTCTTGCTTTCGGAGGGTTCCACATTTACTTTCAATCTTGTTAGGATGTTGTGTATCTTGTCCCGACTTTTATCATAGTTATTAGAGGCTTCATAGATAGTAGTATTTTGAAGAGTCTTTTCCATTTCCTTTAGTAATGCTTAAGACTTGAGTTGCCTTCTTATGACAAATAGAGAAATAATAAATATTTTGAGTTAATTGTTTGAGACAATAGAGTTAGACTGTTTTGAGTTCTTATTTCGATGAGTAACTTTTTCACTGAGTATTGAGCCGGACAAACGGTTAGCTTGTGGACCAACGATGGTTCTCGAGTGCTAGTCATGCTCAGGATATGACATCTTTAACTTTGTTTCATTAAATCATTGAACCATGTGCTCTGATAGCACTTGTTGGATTCGAAAAAGATTAGGCCATCTGCGAAAGCTCATAATTTCAAATCATATGCTGATAAATTAGATGAAACATAAAACTATACAAAAACCGTAATATTATTATTTGATATGATCAATTGGCCTACATAATTAAAAACAAATTAAAAGCACAAAAATTGTGAAGAGAAAATCTTCTCATAAACATATCTCTAAAATGACTATATTGTGAATTTTATTATATTTTTTTGGTATGGGAAAGACGAGTACTCAAAATTTATAGGATTTCAGACTTTTTCTCTAAGGAAAAAAATAAACCAAATATAGAAGATTATATTTCCTTTCAGGAAAAGTTAAATTATTTATGATAATAATTTGATTTTCTTGCAAAAGGAAAATAATTTTTAAATAAGATAAGAAAATCACGACAAAAACCTTAACAAATAACATCCTAATGTAGTTTATACAGCTAAATAATATGATTTAGTCAAGATTTTTTATGCTTATATAAATTGACTCAATTTCAAGTCATCATTCCTAAAAAATTCCAAATAAAATAATTTTATTTTATTTTCATAACCAAATGCCTACAAAATATTAGAAAACCACATAGCAAGCCTTATACATTAATTCCAGTCATACTTTTTGGAATATGATTCTGGAGAGTTATGACCTCCAAAGTAAAATCCATCATCCTGTACTTTCCAAAAACATTCATAATTATTTCTTTTTATTTTTCCACATTCATAAGATTGATATCTGTTAAAAACATCAAAGACTTGTTTTCTAGAGCCCCACAAAAAGTGACAATAGAAACGAGTAGTCTTAAAGACATTCGCGCGAAATGAAAAATTGTAATCATCACCCACTGTAGGAGTTTTCAATCCAAGATCATCATCTTGAGATTTACAGTGAACGAAAAAAGGAGTGTCGTTATTTGAAAGAGCGTTGATGATATGAACTGTGAAACGCTTCGTAAATGCAGAATTTGTTGTCTGAACGAGAATGCTCATTATGACTACTAAAAATACTATGATTTTGGTCATGATGAATCGATTATATGTTTATCTAATGAATCACTACATAAGTAATGCAAAAGAGTTATCAAGACTTAGATGAGGTATAAAAGGCTAATTACAAAGCCTTATATAGAGAATATTTTAACCACAACCTTTTGTAGATAATAAATTTGAAATATGGTGAAATAAATGAAAAAATCAGTTAGTCTCACAATAGTTATTAAGTCAATATATTCACATTTAAACCACTTACAACCCCTATTTCTTTATAGAATTTGTGGAATATGGCTTTTATTATTTGTTCTTTATTATTGATAGGAATTCTCTTGTTAAGACCCTATGAATCAATTAAAACTGGGAAATTAATTATATTAAATTATTATAATTTATTGAGGTGACATAATTTTGTTCTATAGATTTATTAGTTTGACTACAAATAATTTGATATTGATTGACTTTTTTTTATTTATTTTTTATTGATTGACCTTACATTTTTAATTTCATGGTAGATATATTTAAAAAAAATTCTTTCTCAATTATCGTCATCAAAACTAATAATATTACATCACATAATTTTAAATACAAATAGCCTAAAAGACATCTTATTTATCTCCCTTTGACATCATGACCTCAAACTTTACGAGGTTTTATTTAAACACCTCAATTCATTTAGATCATTACCAATCTTCGAGGTTGGTTCCTTCAATTAATTTATTTTTTAAGAAAATCAAATACCAATGAGTTTCACTAATTAATAATATTATTGCAAAATTAATTTTTGACCTTTTTTTTTTTGAATTGATTATGGATGTTAAAAAAATAATTTTAAAATTTTATAATCAAAAACTAGTCTCATAATGTCGATTTTTTTTCTACTTTCTGAAGTTGAATTATAGAGTTTTTTTTTACTAGTCACTAATACTGACAATGTATAAGGATTACAAAATTAGTAAGGACACAAAATCAAAATTAATGATAATGAGGAGATTAATTCCAACAAGAGTACAATCATTACTTTACTAATTAGAAGCAAGGTGAAGGACCACGAGAGGATAATATTATCGTACTTGATGAGCGTTATAAAGATAAATTTAAAATTTATGATTTGTGAGTGTGAAAATTGTATGCATAATTTAGTTTTGTATTGTTGGTTTAGTTAAAGATCTTATTTACGAGAGGTTTAGGATCCTAATCAATTTATTCACACATACTTTTACAATAAATTCGTTAATTAGTTGCATGATAAAAAAAAGTTTTAAGAAAATACAATTCACAACAGGATTCAAACTTGCATCCTTAAGATAATAAACTTGAGTTTTAACCACTTTCACAATAAGGCTAATTATAAATTATAAGGGTGCAAGACTTAATATTTATACATTTCCCTATAAATATACATACAAATATACATGTGTATACAAAATTTCACCTGACAACACTAGGTGGTGTTACACCCCCCTTAGTTCTACACAGATCTGCCCATTGTATTAAAGTGAATATACTTCATGTAGTAAAATTAAATATCCAAAATTTTAATTTTAATACCTAACAGTGGTATCAATAGCTTACTTGATCTTACACACACTTTTTTAAATCAATTTTTAACCAAAAATAATGACAAGCAAATCTGCTCTATTGGACATTGGATGCGCGTGTTATGTCCATTTGAAGTTTAAATTTTTACAAGTACCCATTTAAAGTCATATTTAGTGAAACTTTAAATGGCCGTAGATTATTCCTCGAGCAGTTTTTGGAGGCGATTCTTTTTTTAAACTTTCTCATTTTTTTTAGATTTACGCGATAGACCCAATCTCTTTTTTACCGATTTGACTTTCATTTTTTCCTTATAATTTTGCCCTATATATTATCAAAAATCGATAAACGTAAAATTATAAGTCATATGACAGTGCGTGATATTTTTTTTACGTAAAAATCAAAAAAATAATCAGGTTGAAAAACAATCACCTCTTTGACTAATGGAAGATAATAGTCTTACCACCTCTCCCTCGAAATTCTATCTTTACTCAAATTAAATCTCATTCGGATTAAAAAATCAAAAAACGAGAAGACAAAACTGCAAATCAAAATTCAGTTGCGGATTCGATTTTTTCTAAAATCATTGTTTGTGAGACGACTAAAAAAAACTTGGGAAAAATTTAAAAAGAAAATATCAAAAAAGTATGAAGCTATTGTTAAGAATTCTGACAATATTATTATGATTGTAAATAAAATCAAGTTGCACATATATAAACTATCTTCTATAACAATAAAAGATGAGTAGTATAAAAATTTGTATATATAAGTTAATTTATGTTTAAAAAAAATAAAAAAATATGGAATTGTACAAGGCTAAGATTATTTTAAGAAAAACGATGATGAACAGCAAAGTAGTCAAAGTTCAAAATTATAGAACTTTTGAAAATAGAATACCATATGTGATTTTTTTATTAGAAAAAAGTGAAAAGAAATAGGAGGAATAGTTTTTAATTAGATTACACAAAATAACAATAGTACACATATAATTGCTCAAGAGAAAGGAATTATGAAATTAATCTCACCTCAGAGTATTTGCGTAAGGAGTTCGATTCGAACTATATATACTCATTTTGAATTTACTGATACTAGATTCTCGATCAGTTGTTAATTTAATTAGAGCCAATATTGTGGAGAATTCCGAAGAGATCGCATGATCCCATAGTCCCATGGTTAATTAATTTGGAACACAGGATCAATGCGATCCCTTTGGAATAATCCACCAGCACTATGAATTAATTGCATATTGACGTAGAAAGGTTGTGGTTTCATTTGGTGAGGTTTTATATTTATAAGGGGGGAAAAGGTTCTATATTTGTTTGAATAGTACTATTCATGCTTTTGGTGTGTTGGTGGAATCAAAGGTTGTTGGACTCTTTTGATTTTAATATACTTTTTGGGACTCGTTTGGTAGGAGGGATAACAGATAACTAATTTTGAGAATAATTTTAGGAGATATTTGAGTGTTATCTTTTGATTCGAACACTGAACGATTGAGATTATTTATTTTCTAACATCTGAATGTGTATAATTTATTTATGAAGATAATAAATATACAATTCAAGTTTTAAAAATAAAATAAATATTAGTAATAATATATAAATTTAACAAAATGAAACTATTATTTAATAAAAAGTTTTTTGTTAGTGATGTCAAAGATGGTTGGTGTTGGCGGCTAGTAATAGTGGTAGTGATAATTTATGTTGTTGTGGGTGGCACGATTTTGGTGGTTGGTAATGATGGTGGTGGTTGTAATGATGGAGTTGGTTAACATTTGCAGATAGGAACATTGGTGGTGGCAAATGAAGAATATATACGTGTGGTGATTGACGATGTGTTGATGATAATTGACGACAATGCTAGTTGACGGTGAAGATAGTAATATGGATTGACCACAAGTGATAGCAATGGTGGAGACAACGGTGACGTAGGTGATGGTGGCAGTGATTAATTATAACGATACAAGTGGTAGTGTGACAAAGACTCGCAATAGTGATTGATAATGATGATGGTTAATGGTTCTCGACGATATATGGTGGTTGACAATGATGACAATTATTATGATAATAGAAGTGTTTAGTAATAGTGGTCCGGGATATAGATAGTGTATTGATCAAAATTACCCACACAAAGTACCTGATTTTAAATTTTTGTTTAAGATCTTAATGATTTATACCTATTCGAATCAAACAAATACTTAAATGTTAATGCAAACTTATATGCTTAATTATAAGTAGGATCTTTCTAGGAAGTCGATAGTTGTATTATAAGTTCAAAATTCTCTTAAAATAGTACATAGCTTATTAGAGAAATGTTATACTTTCCTTTAATGTAGTGAACATTATTTTCCTCTCCTCTAAATAAGATAAGGTGTTAATTAATTATAGAATGTAAGTAATATATTCCTCATTATTTCTTTTTATTTGCTTGATGATTCAAATTCACGTACCAACCAGTACAACTTTATAATTAAAAACCTCCATCACCACTTGAACAACCCCCTCTTATCTAGAAAAAAAAACTAACCATGCACCAAGTCTAACTACAATGACTTTCGGCGTATCGTGATTCGTGAGCATGACGCTAGAAGCTACAATGTTAAATCATATTAAATTCAGATGAATTGAATTTTTTTCTTATACTTTATATTATTAATATTTAGCCTTTACATTATTAATATTAAATTTAGAATTCATAAACTTAAAATTTTATTCGATGTACGAAAAAATTTATTGATTAATTAGATGTAGAATATTATAAGGAGAATTCATAAATGCAGCAGGGAAGAGGAGCTATCAAACAGCTAAGGTGGGGTGCCTGTTATTTCATAGTTATTTATTATAAGGGTGTGGCTCTTTAATTTCCACTTACTTTGATCATGTTATTGAGTTCTCACTGTCCACTCATAACAATTAGAAGAATCTTACTGTACATATAGGGTAAAAAAAATAATCAAACATGTTTTTATGTTCTAAATTTAAGGGGTCTCGTTTTTTATTTTTTTTAAAAGAGCTATAATAAGACATAAATTGTATATTTTATCTTCTACAATGGACTAGCTTTAATTTGTGGGAGTCTAGATCCTTTCGAGTGAGCAAAAAAGAAAGACAAAAAAGATTACGATGAGTACTGGCCTCACCTATTACCCTTCAAATGAGTTGATTTATAATTTTTATTTTTTGTAATTAAATGTGGGCCTATAGCCAAACATAAGTTCCTTAGAAACACAACAGGTGCTTAGGCCCTAAATTCTTAAAAAAGAAAAAAAAAGGTTATAATAGGATATAAAATTGTATGTTTGTTTCTAAATGGATTGACCTTTATTTGTGGGGGTCTAGACACCCTTCTAGGTGAGCAAAAAAAGGAAAAACAAAAGTGATCTTCATAAATCGTTATAATTAGTGAATAAGTATAAATTTTACTATCAGATAATAGTATGGAACATTGACCTCACATTTGCCCTTCAATTGGTCAATAATTTTTGTTTTAGCCATTAAAACTTATGCCTATGGGCCACGCATAAGTTCTTTAAAAACACTACAGGTGTGTAAACCCCTAAATTAGAGGGACCTCATTCAAAAGAAAATTATAATAGGACATAAAATTGTATGTTTCGTCTTCCAAGTGAATTGGCTTTTATTTGTGGGGGTCTAGACCCTTCGAGTGAGCAAAAGAGAGAAGAGGAAAAAGGGTCCGGCAAACCATCATAGTTAGTGAACAAGTGTAAGTTTTGTTATTTAATAATATGAAATATTGGCCACACGTTTTGCCCTTCAAATGAATTAGTCAATGATTTTTGTTTTTAGCAATCAAACTTATGTTCAGTGGCGAGACATAACTTCTTTAGAAATACAATAGGTGCTTAGGCCCTTAAATTTGGGGGACCTCTTTTTTCGAAAAAAGAAAAGAAAGAAGAAGCTATAATAGGACATAAAATTGTATGTTTTGTTTTCGAAAATAGATTAACTTTTATTTGTAGGGGTCTAGCCAGATCCCTACGCGTAAGCATAAAATAGAGGAGGAAAAAGGTCCTAGTGAACCATCATAATTAATAAATGAACAAGTGTAAATTTCGTTATCTGATAGTATAAATATTAATCTTACCTTTTAACCTTCAAATGAGTTGGTTAATAATTTTTATTTTTTGGAAATTTAACTTATGCCTAGTGGTTGTGCATAAGTTCATTAGAAACTGAATTTATATCCTGATATGACTTTTAAACATTATGCTATGTGAAAAAGTTATTTATAATGGAGTAAATAATAAACATCAACAAAAGGCAAAAGTTCAAATGAATGTATCATGACATAATTGATACTGAATACATGTACCTGAACTGTATATCTTCTTATTTCTTGAATATATTAGTGCATATATGATATCAGATACATGTTTTTTTGATATCATATATATCGATGAAGGGTGAATAGAAGAGAACTAAGTTTTTTTTTTTGGCTATGTTTCTCTAATGATCAAAATCGTTTTAAGCATGTTTTAATCCTTCATTTATGGGTTTAAGTTATATGTTTCTTTAATTATCAGAAATATATAGGATACAAGTGATACAACATATCAAAAATTAATCTTGTTTAATTTGTTTTATTAAATAATTAGTACCAATAATAGCACACTTAAAATTCGCTTTGTAGGGCCACTATTCCGCTTGAGGCGTAAACATGTTTGTTTTTATCAATATATTTTTTCTTCGAGAATTATTTTAATGATTTACTTAGACTCGATTTAAATATGTAATTTCAAATTATGTCATGGATCGAATAACGTCACATCCTCTAGATGAAAAAGAAAACATATCTCCCATGATCTTTTCGATAACATGCTCACACTAGATGTCTCCTTGATTTAGTACAAATGGGGTCTTAATGTTTTCTTTTTTTGGTACGATAATAGTAAAAGCTAAGTGGAGACCATTGATTTTCTTCAACTACTTCATGTTACTAAGGTTCCCACCTTACATTTGTTTTAGGTATCTTTCACTTTTCTCAAAATTACTGTTGAATATGTGATCCATATGCTATTATTCGAATTGAATTACGTGGAAATTTGAATCTATTCAACCAATCAATTTTTTTTTGTCAATTATTTCTCCGACCACTAGTAGAAGTTCAAGGAAAGAATCACGTGAAAAAAGTTGATGATTCATGAGAACATTTAACTCACTGATCTAACATAGTTTGAATCAGAATTAAAATAGAAATATTTTTTTATAAATAAAATTATGATCTAAAACATGATAGAGTGTAATTATTTGATAATATTTGTTACCTAGTTTTGATGGATAAAATTACTTGGTACATGTTGTTGTTGGAAGGTGACAGTTATCATAGAAGAAAACTGTCCCATAAAAATAATAATTTTGTTACCTTAAGGAAAAAAGTTGATGATTCATGAGCACATTTAACTCACTAATCTAACATAGTTTGAATCAAAATTAAAATAGAAATATTTTTTATAAAAGAAATTGTGATTTAAAACACGATAGAGTATAATTATTTGATGATATTTGTTACCTAGTTTTGATAAATAGAATTACTAGGTAGATATTGTTGGAAGGTGACAATTATCAAAGAAGAAAATTGTCCCATAAAAATAATAATTTTGTTACCTTAAAGTAAATGTCATAACATATGTACGGAGTATAAAATTAACTTTTTACTTTTAAAAATGTCATCTTTATTAGAATGAACTTTAAAAAAACTATGTGCTTAGAATACCTTCATGGCTTCATATTATGAACTAGAATATAATTCTTTTAATTTGCTTGCAACTATTTTGACCTAGTCTTGTTCTAATTCTACTTCTCATTGTAAGTTGAATAGTTGACCACCTCGAGCTTCACAAAGGATCAACAAGTTCAAGCTTAGTAAAGTTTTTCCTATTAGTTATGTTAGAATTGGAGGCGTCAAAAATGAACTCAAACACAGGTAACTCAATTGAGCTCAATTAAATCTTTAGTTTCAATTCGTTTTAAAATTCTTTACTAATATATGTTCCTATATTAAATAAAGGTATGAAATTGTTATCTATTTAACATTTTTAGGACTTGTTTATCCATTTGTTACTTTTTGTTAAGAAAAATCTTGACCGAGAATTCGAATTCTAATTATAAAAGTTAAATATCATTATGTTAAAATTATTGAGATTAATCGAATCAAATTGGACGGGTCAAGACCCAATCCGTTTTTTAGCCCATTTGAACCCAACTCATTTGAGCCCAAAGTAAACTGGGTGGGTCAAGACTCAACCCGATTTCTATTTCAACTCATTTTATAATATCTCCAGTTTCAACCCAACCCATCCATTTGACACCCTTGTTAGACTCGTTAATTCCTACCTATCAAAGAAAGAAAAAAAGGAAAACTAAGAAACCACTCTATAATAAGTAATTGTTTAGCATAGCGTATCATTGGTGATATAGAATATGTCTAAAAGTATTTTACCATAGTCCTATAATTAGTCGGGACGAAGGTCCATGTTTACTTTCTGAATTCATGAGAACTTAATAATTTCTGATTAAATTATATTTATGTATTAAAATATAATATACATTAAATATTATAGATTTCTAAATGTGAACTTCTTGTATATATTTTAACTTCAAATTTAGTATTGAAATAAATTCACATATAATAAATTTGGATTAATTATGAAGCCTAAGGGCATATGCATAAAATCGAAAAACAAAATTAGAAAAAAGGGCCCAACCGGGTTCGAACCGGTGACCTCTTGATCTGCAGTCAAATGCTCTACCACTGAGCTATGGACCCTTTGTTGTGTTTATATAGAAGATTTACTTTATATATAAATTGTATTAAGTCAGTAAGTTTTTGGACGCATGACACCAACTTGCTGTTTATCATTTGAAGTATTTATCAGGAGTCAGGACTCTTATATTATCCAATATATATGATTATTTTGTATACTTTGGAGAAAAACGACACATTTATTATTTACTTTTTCTATCAGATATAAAAATATACAAAAGGTAAGTTAATTGTGTTGCCAAGGGATGTTGTGGAGTAAAAACTATTGGATATCCAAATTAATGTTACAGGTAGAGATTGGAAGAGAGGATCAATCAAAATTTATCGAGCATCAAGTTTGATCTCTGTAGACACATAAATTGTATTAATTCAAATTTGTACAAAATTTGAATTAAATTTATGTTTATTTGGGCTGAATAATTAATTTGGATTTTAATAAATAAGTCTATCTTATTAAATTCAAATCAAAGGTTCATTTCACCTTGAAACCCAAACCTATGTCACGTGTCACAGCGACTATGTATCCAAGACCAACAAGGCGGTGTCACTTGTCTAAATGAGGTGTTAGCCCCAGTCAAGTGCAAGAATCAATCACAACATGCCAAGTATCAAAATGACATCATTTGGCCAATCATATGCACCGTTGTCCACCCCCTACAACTATAAATGGACATGACATTCTAGAGGGATGAAGAAATCTATTCAACAAGCATTCGACAAATTGGAGAAAGCTCCAACATCAACCTCATAGCTCTTCGAAGGAGTGGTCAACGGAGTTCTTCCCACAGATCAATAATATAGAAAATACATATATTATTGCATGCTTTGCTAATACAAAGTTTCCAAGCCATAAAATTGTAACTAGTGAAAAGTGTCTTTATTACTTTTGGAGGATCGGTACATCGAAAACATAAGTAAATACAAAGATTACAAACACCAAAGTACTCATAATCCGAGTAACCAATTAAGATCTATGCTCTACATATACTTTCATTCATTACTTCTTCATTGGCGTTAAATTGACGTGATACACTTCAGTCATATTAGGGTAAAACAAACCAAAGTTCTGTTCAGTACCAACAGGCTTTTGATTCTCGTTAAACAGCGCAAATATATACGTCTCCACAACTTTTCCAGGCTTCCTAGGAGTCCCTTTCCCAGATGCAACATGTGCAATCAAATTGTTAACATAGGTTTGAGCATTATCAATAGTTGCATAAACATCGCCACCACTCGGCCATCCTGTTTCCGAAATCACAACACCTAAACCTGCTTGTCCAACTTTCTCCAATGCAGCATACAGAGCGTCCACCATTGCATCGAACAAGTTACTGTATCTTAAATCTCCGTCAATAACATTGTCAGCCGTGTTTTTAACAAGTGCATAGTCTAACTGAATGTGTTCAGGACTTGAAGCGTACGCAAAATAAGGATACACATCAGCCAATAACGGATACTCTTTTGTAGCTAAAAATTGCGCAATTGGTCGCAAAAATTGAATGGATTCCTCGGTGAACACCCCTTGCGAAGGGGGATACGAGGTACCCAATACCTGTAACGACACTGTTGTCGTTACAGGTATATTCAGGTTAAGCGCTTTGAGCGCTGAATCCAAATTTTGTATAGCTCCTAGTACGAAACTAGCTAATTGTCCGGGTATTACTTCATTACCCGCAGAGATATATGCAAAATTTACGGATGAAACATGTGGAACGACGTTAGTAATAACCCAATTTGTCGCAAAATTTAAATCACTTGCAAGTGGTTGCAGATCTTCATTCCTAGTACCAAGAATTACAGAAATTCCAGAACCTTCTAGTGCTTTCAACACGGCCGGGTTCGGATCGAAAATTCGGGTTTTTTGAATGTTTATGGATTTCAATAAATTGATCACCTGTGTTGGTGGTGGCAGATTGTCTCCTAGAAACCCATAGTTTACACCAATTCCTTCAACACCTTTTTTGAAGAAAAAAAATTGGATTAGTATATAATTATATATATTATATATATATATATCGACTATTTTTAGTTTAATCAGTTAAAAACGTACCAGATCTTAAAGTTACACAAGCAAAGAGAAATAACAAGACGCAAAGATGCTGCATAATTGATATAATATAAATATATTAAGAGCTTTCTAGTTTTGATTGACAAATAATGAGAAATGGTCATATTTATATGGGTGATGTGATGAATTAATATTTTGTGTACTAAAACAGATGGTAAATATTTTTAATTATGTGTGAATAATCCTTGTACTAAAATAACATAAAAATATATATTTTACTATTAAAGGTGGATCTTTATTTAATTATCTTGCTAATTTTCATTTTGGCATGACAAGGTGGATTTTTGTTTTACTTTCTTTGTTCAGATTTACTTGTTAAATTTTGAATACACTAAGAAAACAGTAATTGATATAGTAAATTTATTATTTATTTTCATTGATGGATAGAATCACAAACATATTTACTTACTATATTTTTTTAAGACATTGATGAAATGCGGCTCGCTAAAAATATAATTCAAGACGTCCATCATTCTAATAAGTTAATATTCTTTTCTGGTTAAACAAAGTTATAGTTATCAAACAAAAATATGATTTTTCTTTGCTTTTTTAGTTTAATAAAAATAACAAGTAAAAGTAAAAAGTTAGAAATTATTTACAATAGGAATATTTATATATTTTTACCTCTTTCGCATGAGATGGTGGATCTTTCTAATTTTGTTGCCTTATTTAGCAAAAGTATTTAGTTATAATTATTAGTGCATGCTATAAATAAGGACTGACTACCTATTTTAATATGAGTAGGTAATTAATTAAGAAAAAATTATCTAAATACATTATTTATTTTACTATTATTTTTTTTAAAAAAATTATCATTTAAAAAGAATATAATTTTTGTTTTACAATGTATCGAAACATATCAATGTATGGAATCATTACATCTTATGTTGTATCAGTGGGATCATCAAAGTTGAAAAGAAATAAAAATAAAATA